GGAGGAGCGCCGCCGCGGCCCGGCCGGTGCTGCCCGGCCCCCGCCCCTGGCCAGGGGGTCACAGCATCCGGGGAGGGGGGGCGCGCCGCCGCTGCGGCCCGGGATTCCGCGGTCCAGTCTTCTGCCCGCGGCGCGGCTGGAGCGGCGGCGTCGGCAACAGGCAAGCTTAAAGGAAAAGGAGATGATCGTGTCACTCGTCCGCCGGCGGGGGCGCCGCGCCCCCACTCCCGGCCCTTGGCCTGCCGACGACCCCCGCCCAGTCCCGGGAGCGGGGTTGGCTCCTCCGCCTCCGCCCCGCGCGCGCGTGCAGGGGCACGGCGCCGGGCCCGCCAAGCGCGCCCCGGGCCGGCCAAGACCCCTGGGCGCCCCTTTTCCCCTCTGGCCTCGTCCCCTGGCCACCCTGCGCAGCCCTTACACCTCTCCACCCGCCGCGTACAGTGCCTTGGCGCGGCCCCTGGGTTTGGGCCTGAGGCCCTGGGGGATGCCAGGGCCTTTGGGGAGACGCCGGCGCCCTCGAGTGAGGAGGCGGTCACGAGGAGGGTGGTTGGGGGTCGCGATCCGACCCTGCGGCACCACAGCTCCTCCCTTGGGACCCGCCGCCTTCACTTTCCCCAATTTATTTCCTGGGCAAACTTTCCCGGACCCCTCCCTGGGGGTCGATGTGGGAAGAGGTGCCTCCAAGTTTCCTCTCCTGACTTTGAGAAGATCAAGGTCCCCTTATCCCTCGCGCCCCCTAGGCGCAGGGTTGTGCCCCTACCCACCGTGCGGCCCAGACGAGGGCACGACCCCGGCGTGGGAAGAAACTCGGCAGCCCATGACATCCCTCCACCCCGGGGAGCCCCTGACACGGGGCTCGCCGCACCCCATGCCTGGCCTGCCTGCACTCCAGAGCAAGGACGATTGATTATTGATTGGGTGATTGGGGTTGTTGAAGCTCTGGGCGGGCCAGGCCAGCTGGCTGCGGAGAAGAGGAGTTGGCCGGGCTGCTCTGGCGGCGGGGCGACGCGGGCTCACTTACGGGCGGCAGCTAGAGCTCCGGTGGACCGGAGCTCATGGGGGCGACCCCGGGGAGGCGGCGGCGGAGCCGGAGCCGCGCGGGCGGCGGCGCATCGATGCGCTGCGGGC